GGGGGAGAGTGACAAGGTAATGTAGACTTAAAAGGCTATTTATGGACTTAAACAATCCCCCCATGCATGGTTTGGGAAATTTAGTGAAGTGGTGAAGAAGTTTGGAATGAAATAGTGTCAGGTTGACCATTCCATATTCAACTATGAATCCAATGTTGGGAAGATCCTATTGGTGGTATATGTAGATGATATTGTTATTACAGGTAGTGACAAACTAGGGATTGATAGGTTGAAGACTTACTTGCATGATCACTTCCAGACAAAGGATCTTGGCAAATTAAGATACTTCCTAGGGATAGAGGTAGTGAGGTCCAAGAATGGTATTAATCTGTACCGAAGGAAATATGTCCTTGATCTGCTAGAAGAAACAGGGTTGTTAGGTGCTAGACCAGCTAAAACATCCATGGAACCGAATGTTAAGTTGAGTAGTGATGTAGGTGAGGAGTTTGAGGATCCGGGAAGGTACAGAAGGTTGGCGGGTAAGCTAAATTACCTAACCATCACTCGACCTGATATCTCATTTGCAGTCAATGTAGTGAGTCAGTTTATGCAAAATCCTCAAATTCCACATTGGGAGGTGGTCCTAAGGATTGTGTGGTATTTGAAGGGAGCTCTAGGTCGTGGTTTGTTATATAAGACTAGAGGAAGTCTTGAGATAAAGGGATACACGGATGCTGATTGAGACGGTTCCATATCCGACAGAAGGTCCACTACAAGGTATTGCACTTTTCGTGGTGGGAACTTAGTGACATGGAAAAGTGAGAAGCAGACAGTGGTAGCAAGAAGCAGTACAAAGACTGAATATAGAGCCATGGCACACACAACATGTGAACTACTGTGGACGAAGCATCTCCTAGAGGAGATGGGATACTCGATTGATACTCCTATAAAGCTATATTGTGATAATCAAGTTGCAGTTCATATCTCCTCCAATCCAATGTTTCATGAAAGGATGAAACATATAGAAGTTGATTGCCACTTTGTACGTGAGAAGGTGCTTAATGGAGTGATAAGTACAATATATGTGAACAGAGGAAATCAATGGGCAGATCTGTTTACCAAAGGGTTGAATTGGGGAAGAGCGGACTACATATGTAACAAGCTAGGACTATATGACATATATTCACCAGCTTGAGGGGGAGTGTTAGAGTCAGCTGTAGAAGGGTAGTATAGACCTTTTATATTAAGTTATATGTTAATTGTTTAGCTGATGTGGTTCTCACTTAAGTGAGGGCATAAGAGTAATTCTTGTTTATTTAGAAAAGTATAAATAAAGGCTGGCCGACTAGAGAAGATGAGTTTTCTCTCTGGTTCAACTGAAACTGTTCTTCTTCTTCTCCTTCTTCTTCTTCCCCTTCTTAACTGAAATCGTACGGACACTATTATCTAAATTTTATCAAAGATAATCCAAATCTTTGGAAGCTCCCTACACATTACACATCTACTACATTCCACCTTCAAACCTTTTCTTGCTAAGGCATTCGCTGTTAAACACTTCCCTAAAGTTGTATCCCACATCAAAAAGGCTACTTTGGGAGGGCCTACAGAATGGCCTCTGGAAAGCTTTCCAACTCCCCAACACTCTCATTTGAACTGTTGTAAAAAGATCTGACTGAAAATAATCATGACTTTTCCAGTAACCATACCTTTATCTCTTCTTGTCTGATCAGGTGTGGAATTGCCAATCATTTGCATTAGTTCCATCCACTGCCCTATCTCCCAGTCATTTAGATTTCGTCTAAAAATCGGACACCACTGACTTGAACTTGTTCCTTGGAAAAAAGCTTCAGCAATCAAGAAGGGCAGCCCAGTACACGAGGCTCCCACCAATATGGGGTCTGGGGAGGAACAGATGTGATCTCAAATAGTGTAGGGAAGAGCTGTTTAAGGGGTTGGTCTCCGCACCAGGGATCATACCAAAATTTTATCCTCGAACCATCTCCCACCACATACTTAATTCCCTTTCTGAAATCACTTAGAGATTTCTGAACACCCCTCCACAATGCACACCCGTAAGGCAAATTAGTCTCAGCTGGCTCCCAACTCAAATTGCTTTCTCCATACTTTGCCTGATTTATTCTCCTCCAATAGGCCATTGGGTTGTTCATTCCATCTCCAAAACCAACTCTTAAGCATGATTCATGAGATAAGAAAGCCACTCAGAAGATCTCCTCATTTCCAATTCATGGACCATGATGGTCATTGAGTCACCTTCAACAAAAAAGTTCCTCTATGGTAAATCCTTTTGCAATTTCATCCCTTGAAGAGTGGCTTAAATTTCATCCTTTTTGGCTATAAAAAAAGTGATTAAACATTTCAATATTACTGTAATAGAATATTTTTATTTGCTAGTGGCATTAGTTTGGTACAAGTTCTTTATGATAAATCCTTTTGTGATTTCATCCCTTGAAGAGTGGCTTAAACTTCATCCTTTTTTGCTATAAAAAAGTGATCAAACAGTTCAGTACCACTGTAGTAGAATATTTTTATTTGTTAGTGGCATAAATTTGGTGCAAGTTCTTTTACCAAGACTGTACCATCGCAAAAAGTTAAATCCATCCCTTGCTACTAAATTAATGATAATAGACAGTAGTCAGTAAATAATATACAGGGAAATTTTCATTCAGGCAAAGTAAATGCCAAAGCAACAGTGTTTGGGTGGCTTCATAGGAGATTCAGACTACATGAAGATAGAGGTTTTAGCTCCCACAGTGGCTCTCAGATTGCTAAATAAGTTGTGCCTATCTTCTCTGCCTATGGAAGAAGATTTGGCCAATGCCAATAAGATGAGCAACTGGGTTGACCACGCCCTGTGGAGTTTTTTTTTTTCTTTTTTATTTTTTTTGAAAGATGAAGTACATCAAGAGAAAGGAGACACACAAGGATTACAATGGAAGAATTCTATCACTATACAACGAGTCCCTGTGAAACCCAGTAAGAGCCACCAGCACCTATAACTTAGAAAAGTCACCAGTCCCTATTGGGCCACTAAAATCCCAACAAATATTTCCATCCCTTCCCTTTATCAAACCTCCTACTCTTGCATCATCCGGGCTCCCTAGAGCACTGCCAAAGTTTAACTTCAAGACCCCCTCCCGAAAAAGTGAAAGGACCTTGGGGGTGGCCAGACTATTAGGGAGGAAGGAAGCAATTGGGTTACATTTCTCTGCATAACATTCATAGACATTGCTTTGAACAACTCAGAATTTACAGCCCATAGGTTGCAAAGGTAGGTTAGGAGATCGAATCTTCAACCAGTCTGGCTTACTTGTCAAAGATTCTCCTTATTTCTTTCTTCCCAAAGGCCCCACATTACAGCATGGACCACTCTGGCCAATAAAGTTTTCCTCTTCTACTGAGCCTCCTTCCTTGCCACTATAATAACCTGTTGCAAGTTGAAGGGGGTAGAAGGACTAGGAGCAGACCAAAAAGGACAGGGATTGAAGTAGGTAAGAAATGATTTAAACGCTCTTGGTTTAAAAATGGATATGGCACTAAATGGAATGGAATGGTGAAACAGGATTCATGTAGCTGATCCCATAAGTTGAAATAAGCTTAGATGATGATGATGAAGATAATGGAAGAAGGTATTAAGAGAAATGTATAAAGAATGTATAAAGGTGCCAAGACAACATCAGAGTATATTTTCATTATTTTTTAGAAGAGTAAGGTATGATCCATTAATAAGAAAAAGTGGAGAAACCAAATAGAATCCCCATAACTATACAGTTAGAAAATGTGCATATTAGAAAGGACTATCCACCCCCACCCTACCCTACCCTACCCCCCAAATAAATAAAAACAAAAGCAGTGCACTAGTTAGCCCAATGGAGTTTCATGTTTCAAGCAAAAACAAATTTGGAAAGTGACACCCCTGAATAGTTGGGAAGCAAATAACCATGAAACACCATCAACACATTTCACTGATTAACTCATCCCCTTTAGAAGAGTTGCTGTCATAAATTTTTGAGTTTCTTTCCATCAGTAGTAAAGTCCAAATGACAGCTTATGCAATAAATTATAATAGATTTCCATGCTGAAACCCCACTCCTATTGATACCAACAATGGATGATCCTTCAAGGGTTTCGATATCAAACCTTGGAAATACTCGACTTGTATTATGGGAGTTGAGGAAGCAATTCCAGATCCTCCTGCTGCAGTCACAATGCATGAAGGTATAATCAGTGAATCTACCTCCTGATTGCAAAATATACAGCCTGTGAAAGGGCCTCCACACCCCTCTTGATTAGGTTTTTCCTTGTAAGAAATTTGTTCCAACAGGCAGTTCAGACCATGAAAGCAATCCTTGGAGGCACAACTAGGTTACAGAACAACTTTATCTGGAAAGCATCTATTGCTGGATTAGATAGCTTCTTTGAAAGGGATCTGATAGTGAATTCACCTAACTTCTTCCATGTCCCTTAGAGAGGCWAGTTCTTTTSTGTTCAGATGTCTTCTACAAGATCAGCCAACTCAGACAGTTTGCCTAGAGTAAAAGGTGGGAAGATTGGATTTGTATTGGAGATCACAGTGTCCAGAACAGAGTAGACACCGTTTAGCAATTCTTCTTGTATCAATATTCAATATTACTCAAATCCCTTGAATTATGTAGTTTATGATGGTACTTCTCTTATTCTCATCAATAGTAATCATTTTCACATTATTCATCAAAGAAGAAAATGAGAAAGGAATACCCTCATAAGCCAAACCATACTAGTTTAACTCCTTTTTTCCTTGGCCAATAAGAACAAGAGTTAATAACATTTGTTGCCAATAGAAAGTTCTTATGTTAACCAACATCAACCAAAAGAACAAAAAGTAAATTTCAGCATATAACAGAAATAAACAATCAATGATGGTCAAAAGAAGAAATTTGTAATGACAACTAAGTAACAGTAATGATTGTGGACATAGTTTTAAACAACCCATGAAAAGAAAACAGAATTGAAAGTTGAAACAGTAAGTCAACAAGCAATAAAGTGAGCAATGCAAATCTTACTTCTTAGGTGGTTGTATGCTTCCAGACTTTGAAACAGCATAGGATCTGATTACAGTACGCATATGGGTACWGACCCACGTCACTGTAAAACCTTATAAAATATCAAAATGTCAAAAAACGATAGGAAATTAAACAAAAATTAGTTTCCAAATCAGAATGCAACGGGTTAGTCTAGTGGAGTCAAAAATTAAGAAGGCTATGCACAATTATGTAAAATCTTCACTTGTCCTTACTGATTAAGACTTAGCCTTTGGCATTTTTCGTGCACTAAAACGTGAAAAGTTCTGGAAGTTTTTCTTTTGTTCAAACTGAATGAGATGAGTTACGAGTCAAATTGTCTCCTAGCAGCAAGTTCATTCCATTAGCAACATAAAGAGGGAAAATGGGAGTATGGATATGAAAAATGCCTAAAAAATCAAGCGAAGGGAGTAAAAACTAAGATATCTCAAACCATTTTCTAATTCCCAGAAATACAAAACCAAAGAAGACGACGACACGATTGTTGGTCAGATAATTGCAAATTTCCAGAAAACTACACAAAAGTTTAATTCAAATTTCAAACATTGAACCAGATAAGGATAAATTGGATGATTCAATAAAAGGGGTGTCATTTCTCTGAAGGGATAAAAGGGATTCTACTTATTTAACTATACTAGACTAGAGAAAGATGCACAGCTCTGAGGAAAGGAAGACAACACAGTGAGAGAAATGAGATGAGTCAATGTAAAGCAGATAGACAGACAGTAGAGGAAAATGGAAATATTACCGGGAAATAGTCGACTGTGTGATTTGTAGAACAGGAACAAGTTCGGAGAACGTGAGATGGGGAGTCTTAAGAGCTCCAGAGCCATTTCTTCTCGGTTCTTCAGTCCTCTTTCCTCTCTTTGGTCTGTTTTCGAGCCAGTGAGATGCTGTATACTTGAAAAGCGTCTCGTCCAATACAGGTGCTGACTGCTGACGGATAAAGGAGGAGATCGGATTTGCTCCTGATAAAGCGCGCCTCACACCATCCTCATAGCGCATCGCAGCATCGCAGGCGTGCATTGAGAACATCTTTCGTAGTTGATCAGTTATACGTGACCAAAGTATTGCCGCGTGGTAGATAAAAACAATTCATATTTGAGATGTTCCCAATATGATGTGCTGTTGGTCGTTAGTGGGTGCGCTCTGTAGGGCGCAGATGTGAATTCTCATGTTAACGATGTTCTCTGAAAACTAGACCGGACAATCGGATTGGGTCATCAAAGACTGGACTTAACCTAAACATTTAGGTTAGGGTTGACCCACGGGTCAGATGGGTTATGGTTCACCTGGCCGGGTCAGTTGATCTTTGACTAAGTCAATAACATTTTACCAAAAATACAGTTGATTTAACCGTCTGATTCTAACCATTCCACCATCCAAATCAATATTGATTTGAAAACTTAAGGTAACATGGTGGTGACCTCGTGACCCAACCTGACCCAAATTCTTTTTGGGTCATGCCACCTAGTTCGGGTGGCTAATAGGGGACCGGGACCCTAACCCACTTTTCGGGTTGGATCGGGTTCGTGGGTTGGGATGCCTTTATCTAGATGAAGTTAGCATATGCCACTCCCCAAATTTTGGTAATGGCGGGATTCAAATCCCAGACTTTGCTGGAATGAAACTGTTAATATACCAACTGAACCATCCCGTTGGCGAATCCAAATTATTAAGTTCATTTTATTCTTTTTTCATTAAACTTGTATTTACGGTATTAATCATGGTTTTAAAAAAGACCCAAAAATAGAATTGTCTTGTCCATCGGTTTTTTGGTCAACGATTTGTTCACTCGGTTCAAATGGATGGTTTATTCTAACAACAAAAATTAAAAAAAAAATTAAAAATCGTTGAACGAGTTGATGGGTTGATAATTCGACCATTCGTGTCAATGGGTCGTTGACCGATTCAATGGTTTTTGGCCAATGACTGGGTTTAGGGTAAAATGGAACCAGTCGCCTAGACAGTTCTTGGGCCAAATGGTCTGACCGTCCGAATCAATGGCGGTTCAAAAACTATGATGTTAATTCTCATTCTCTCATTGAATTATCTATTTAAAATTAAATCCATAAACAATAATTTCAATTGTATAAAAACCTATATTTAAAACAGACTCACAAATAAAACCTTTTTTTTTCAATTGGTGGGTAAGCAGTTCGAGTTAATTGGATCAACCCGTTATGCCAAAAAAAATACTAAAACTTTTAAAAATATAAAAATAAATATTTTTTTTTAAATTGGCACATTTGTGTTGGTCGAAAAATATGTTTGGTTCCACCTACTTTTAGTTGAAATAGTGATGCAATGCCTACTTAAATTGTGATTTCAAATAAATGTTTTTGCAATAAGAGTAAAGTAGCCATGAGAAGCTGATCTAGCACGTGCAAGACAATTGAAAATGCCTTATCAAGTATCAACAATCTTAGGAATCTCACCCCTTTTTTGTGCCAAGGAAGCTCACCATTAGAAGTTTAACAATATTGGTGTGTGCCTAGAGTAGAAGTTTTTACTGAGATTGGCTTCTGTCAGTGCAACTTCCTTTCTAATAGTTTTTACAGCCTTGCATTGGGAATATCTCCATACTTACGTGTTTTATTTCATGGGGATATATTCTCAATGCAAGGTTGCAGTAGGCTGTTCAAAGGGTGTGAGCATGACCTTGCACTGACTGAAGTCGAACTCGTTTTTACCTACAACGTAAAGGTTATGCAACGCCATGGTGCAAATTAGGGGTGTTCATAATGAGATGGGATCATCTGCCCACGTAGCATGCCCTATAGGTGCCCTATCGCCCATCCCCTATTCCCCTCCGTGCATTGGGATTATCTTCCCATCACAAGCACGGGAGATGTTCCCAATGCACGAAGGGGTGGGCTATGGGGCGCGGCACATTCTGTGGGCAGCTGATCCGATCACGTTCATAGTCAATTGGATTTGGTTTGGAGAAGATCTAAAATCAAACCGTATGTAATTGGTTTCTATATTAAAATGGTTTGGTTTGGTCTGACTATAATCTATTGATTTGATTTGTTTTTTAATATGATTTGGGTCATTCTATTAGACTTAATGCAATTAAAAAGCCCAAGTAACCATACATGCTTGCATAAATAACAAATATAATTCAAATATCAAATTGAAATGTTAACAAATGCTACTATTGTCACACGCACGCGTGCGCACACACACATACACACATAACTGTCATTGACATGGATGGTCAGATCGTTTGGCCTAGAAACCACCAGGCAACTGGTTCCATTTCACCCTAAAGTTGTTCCTTGGTAAAAAAACTATTGACTTGGTTATCAACCCGCTGACGCGGGTGGTCAATTTTGTGTAGAATCAGTTTCTCTTTGTTTATATATATATATATTAGACATTCTTTTTTTTTTTCTGATTCACCTTTGTGTAGCAGCAGATATTCCTTCCATCCATTTTGGTGATGGAATTCAGATGATCTATAACAACAGATGGAATCTTGTATGGTTTGTTTTGTTTCCTTCTAATAAACCGATTAAATAGTAAAAGTTGCAGAAACTCAACAATAATTGTTAGATTGAACAAGGCCTCAAGAAGCAATTAAAACATGTATATTAAGCTGTAGATACAACCAAGAAAAAGGAAAAGGAAATAAGAATCCAAGGCTTTGCTTTCATAAGATTTTGGAAAACAAATTGACCAAAAAATTGTTTCGATCGAGCATTGGGTAAGAGAAAATGGAGTAATCTTGGTTAAGGATCAAAATTAATCCATTTTCATTAACAATCAAGAACATCTCCATTCAGATAATGAACTTGTGCTATTAAATGCAACTGTGGTGGAAATATGGAATCGTATCATTGCAGCTGGTTTCCAATCATGGTTGAAAGTATAAATATTGAAGCTTTGGTCATTTTAATAGGTCCAAATGTTAATATCTATCTTGATTATATTTGTTTATTTATAAACTTGCCTAACTGAAAAAGAAAATAAAAAAAGGAGTATTGTATATTGGAAACTATGAATACATTCCAGAGTATACTTTTATTATGGTTTGGCCTCTAAGATATTTAGGCTGCATTTGGTTGGAGTGCAAATGCTGAACCGTTACAAATTTGTAAGACAGAGGAGAACGGCGAACTGCGTAGAAACGGAGTAGAACGACTTGAATCTGTAATCCCCATATTCTTGAAAATCCAAGATAGGTAAGTCTGATATTTTGTTGCTCTTTTTTTTTTTTCTTTTTGTTTTTCCGTTTTCAGGTCATCTACATTGCTAGAAGAGAGTTCTTCGTTTTCACAGAGGTAATTCGATTTGCCTTTGTTTTCACAAATGTAGTTCTGTACTGCTTTCTAATCTAGAGTTTCTGTGCGCTTTCACCATAGAATTAGATACACTCAATCAGTAGCTGAAGTTTCTTTCTTTTGATGAGATAGTTAGAACATAGTTTATTATATTTCCATGTGAAGATCTAGTGCTTAAATAGACAAGCTACATGCTACTTGTATTCATATTCAAACTCAGCTTCCTAATTTCAGTTATATGTTGGATTTTGAAAGCTTTTAATATCCAGTTTCCCAATCAAACTCAGTTTCCTAATGTCAGTTATACGTTGGATTTAGAAAGCTTCTGATATCCAGTATCCTAATTTAGTCCTCATTTTCCATCCATACTTCTTAAATCCAGTATCCTAAGGCGGCCAAAACCCTTGCAGAACAACTGAACTGCAGTGCAGATGAAGCAGCAGAAAAAAATTGAAAGCTTTAAGTGTTCTTTTCCTGGTGTTGCTTCCTGGCTGAGTGAAGCTGTTGCATCTTGCCATCAAAAAGGGTGAGCTCATCTTCATTGTTTTCCTTTGGTGCAAATGATCACCTGTTCTCAAAAGGTTTGGATGGTGACAGACTAACAGTAGTTATCAACTTTTGGGAAGTTGACCTTAAGACAAAGATGTCATTCCAATTCCATTTAATCCAAACTATTGCTTCTCAAAGTCAATCCATACTACAGTTATTTGTGTAGCATTTAAAGCATTGTTTTGAAAACTGAAGCACCTGGATATGGTAACCAGATGCCATTCAGCTTCAATGGTAGAGTGGTTTTGGTAGTTCTGAGGTTGAACCTCCTGCTTCAACTGGATTTTAGCTGTTCAATGTCCAATATGGTTTTTGAAAGCTTGGTTTAAATCATCTGATTTTCCATTACTTGTTTCTACTTCGTTTTGGATTATCTACTTGTTATCTTTGACATGTTTTGAACTAATCAATAGACAACTTTTGAAGCAAATAAGGTGACTTTAGATTTGACAGGCTCTCCCACTAAATATTATGCAGTGAAGTTATTGTTGTTTATTTGCAATGGGCTATTTGGAGGTTTTATGTTCTATGATGTCTTATTTGTGCAGCTATGTGGAGGCCCTTTAGGGAAGGAAATGTTTCTTATCAAAAATTAAGTTACGGAATAGCAAAGAAAAAGCTAAAGCTCGAGGCAGGCTGTGAATTCAATTTGTCAGGTATTACCATAACAGAGAGACTATTCTTACTATGTTATGTTGAATCCACCTGGTACTAATAGCTGTTTTCTAGGGTTCTGCTGCTGACATAATCAAGATTGCAATGATAAATATTCACACTGTGATTGTCGAGGGATGTGAAAAGCCTAATTCAAGCTTTGAATTTGCAAAACTATTTCCCATGCTTAAAGGTCACTGTTGAATTCTTTTGCAGGTTAGTACTTTCAAACTCCAAGGTTGCAATGATAACAAGAAGCTCTCTCTCTCTCTCTCTCTCTCGATCTCTCTTTGTGATGTACATAGACGTATGCTTACATACATAGAAAGGGTGGCCCAGAACATATGCACACATACATATGTGCACAAAAATATAAAAGGGCAGACCAGTGCATGAGGCTCCTGCCAATGTGGGGTCTGGGGAGGATAGATGTATGCAGCCTTAACCCTGAATATACACTGAGGTTGCACAAAAATATCATAATATGCAATATATTCTCATTGTGAGATTGAACATTTTGTTTTGTTTTGGGGTTGTGAAACAAAATGTCTGCAAGTGTTTATGGTTTTGTATTATGATTACAGGTACATGATGAGTTAGTGTTGGAAGTTGATCCTTTGGTAATAGGGGAGGCTGGATTATTGCTACAGTTAAGCATGGAAAATGCTGAATCGCTTCTAGGTATGCATGAACTCAACATAACATAAACTGGCTTTGTAATTCGTTATCATCATCATCTAGGCCTTACCCCAACAATATTGGGTCAGATACACAAATCCTGTTTCTTCATTCCATTCTTTATAGTGCCATATCCATTGTTAAATTGTGAGCGCTTAAATTATTTCTTACCACTTCAATCCATGTCCTTTCTGGTTTGCCCCTAGTTCTTCTGGCCCTTTCAACCCATTGTTAAGTTATGGCTTTAGTTCTTTGGAAATATATTCACTAGTATCTTTTTCCTTGTTTCAGTTCCTTTGCAGGTCAAACTGAAGGTTGGAAGAACCTGGGGTTCTTTGGAGCCTTTCCAGGTGGAGCAATACAAAGAAAAAATTCCTTATATAGCATTCTTGAATTACACAAAGAAATGCCTTTCATCATCAGTTGGTACAGAAAAACTTTATTCTGTTAAAGAGCTTTTACATTAATTTGTATAAATATGTGGAAGACTTGGTTACTGGATGGAAAATTTTACTATATTTTGTCAATTGAGTAATAAAATTGATGCTCTGTAGGCATTCAAATGCTAGAGGAACTCTCAAATGGAGGGGGAAGTGGCAAATTTATGCTGGTAGGTCAAAAAATTCATTGTCACATGCATGAGAAGAGCTGCCTGTACCAACAACCTCTACCTTCATTTAGAAGTCATCTAGAAGGATGATTCATGAAAGAAATTGGGTGCAAAGTTCATTTCCTCTTATGTGGAAGAGTTAAATTTACTTCCATACAGGCCTTGATTATAATGCTTGGTTTGAACTGCAATTGCTGAGTTGTCCAAGAGCTCATTGTTGGGATCTTCAGAAATGCACTCAGCAAGAGATTTGCTAGATTTTGTAACTTCAGAAAGAAGTCTTTAACAAAAGGATTTTTGTACTTGCACATGGAAAGCAAACAATTTGAGTGGATGCTCTCAATGTCACTTTGTGAATTTTAGAGACATCGCTGCTTCTGAAAAAGACAAATCTTGTGTGGATGACAAGTTTTGTTGCTCTTGCTTGTCACATTGTGCCAGTCACAACGGTTACTATGGAGGCAGGTACAGAACAATTCTGACAATGTTCAGGTTCAGTGTAGAAGGAACATGTGAAAGGAGTACTGAAGGTTGCAAAAAAAATTCAAATTGGGTTATACCTGATAGGTGATTGAATCTATGAACAACTGAGACATGGTAGCCAAGGGTACCCTGGGGTCTTGTGCACAAAGTACTGCCAATGGGTAATGTTGGTAGAAGGATCGTCTTGTTTTCATGTTCAACATTGTCAGGGAACAAAAAGATGCTGTTATAACAACCACAGGAAACATTGAATATCATGAACATGTGGCTTATGAGGTTTTGGGCTTTATCTTTTTAGTAACACTGCAGTATCAAATCAGCAAAGAGAATAATCAACAGATGAGAATTTTTTTGAAGAGTTTGGTGGCTCAGGAATCAGCAGTCAGCATGAGAATAATCAACAGTGATTATTCATGGTTATTGTCGTGGTTTCAGGATGTTTCTGTTGCGATGGAGCTTGAAAGCTGCATTCTTTGAAGAGACGAGTGAAGTTGTTGCCAGGCAGACATAATTTTGTGTTGCTTTCTGAAAATCTATAGACAAGCTGCCTGGATTGAACATTCTCTTTGTATGTGATTTATCAGATTCTTTATTTACAGTTCTCATGTGGTTGAAATTCTTAGATTCTTTTCCCCCTTTGTTTTTTTAAATTCTTTTTTAGTTTTGTCGTCTAGTCTTCGTCACCGGTAAGGAGGAAGCTGGCATTCTTTGTATTTGCTGCTCTGGTTCCTCTTTTCTTGACACTCATGCTTTCCAAGAGGAGAATTGCTCCTGAGAGATCAACTTCCATCTGCTACAACCACAGGCAGTTTCAGCTACAACATTAATCTATTATTTTTATATTGATTTAATGGTTTGTTATTTTTTATATTTGTTTAATGGTGGGAGTATCTGAACATCATCTGGTAGCAAGAAACAATTGTATTTGCATTGATAAAAATGCCAAATATCCACAAAAATTGTATTTTTATTTGCATCTTTCAAAACAAATGAACCGAGTGCAAAGTGGGTGTGTAAATCTTGAACCACTTTGCACTCTCATGAACCAACATTTTTGTTTTGCACTTTACAAATTTGTATTCGTACTCTAACCAAACACAGCCTTAGTAGTAGGAGAAGGAGATTATGGTAGATGCATCCTGGGGCATTGTGTTGGGCCATCTATCTGGAGTGAAATAGTAGGGTTTCGATCAAGTGGTATTAGAACCTGGGTGGCTGATTGGAAAGATCGAAAGATTTTTTTTAATAAAAAAAAAAAGATTGAAAGATTTTTCGGACAAGTACAGATACACACGATACAGAATTCTGAATTCTAGCCCCCCCCCCCCCTACTAGTAGCCCTCTCCCCTCTATAAACCACATCCTGCCCGTGAATTTGACATCAATTCACGGTCAGGATGCATTCCCCTTGTACTTTGGGGCTATAAAATTCTGATCTGGGTTGATTGGTCATTCTCCCAAGATTTTTTATGGAAAGGGCAAGTGTACAGAAGGAGTTCAAAGGTATGAGAAAAGAAGAGTTTATACATCTGTTGGAAAGGATCCTTTTTGTTGATTTTGTAAATGAGGCTCAGTTTGGAAAGAGTACAAATACACTATTTTTCTTTCATATTTGCTAGTATGATGTTTTGATGTTTTTTTTTTAGTACAAAAGTAAAAAATTGGAATTTCAATGATTAGAGTCTATTGTAAACTATAATATATCTCATATTGAAAAGGGAAAATTCCCGATTAGTACTGTGTACTTTGGGCCTATTGCCACTTTGGTTTCCAAACTTTAAAACGTGACAATTTAGCACCCAAACTTTCAAAATGTGTCAATCCAGTACCTGTCATCAACCAATCCGTTAACCAGCCCTTATGTGACATTTGAGAAGACACAAATGTCTTTTGAGTTTCATCTAATTTTCTTTATCAACCATCCATATCTTGATAAAAAATGAACAGTCTCAAATCTTAGCCTCTTCTATTCAAGAAAGTTGGGGTTACATCTTACTAGGAATTCTAGTGACCCCAACTTTCTTGAGCAAAAGAGGCAAGGATTTGGGACTGTTCATTTTTGTTAATGTTGGTTGATAAAGAGAATTAGATGAGACTTGAAGGGTATTTGTGTCTTTTCAAATGGCATTTAACGGTTGGTTAACAAGCAGGTTAATGGCAGGTACTAGATTAACATGTTTTGAAAGCTTGGATACTAAATTATTGCATTTTAAAATTTAGGGACCAAAGTGGCATTAGACCCAAAGTACAAGATAGTAATCTAGAATTTTCCCTGTTGAAAATCTAAAATCATGAAATAAGCAATAATAAAACATAAAAATTACTAATGACTTTGTCATTAGGGTTAGGGCTCAAGAATTAAGATAAATAGACATGATGGTATGTAATAGGACTATATAATATATATATACAATAGCAGTGGAGTCGGGTTTGGGCTGGGTTGGGTCGCTTAAGATGTCAACCCTAAAGTGAATTTGGGTTGGCAAAAGTCAACTCTGACCCTAACTTGATTGTCAACGTGACCCAACCCAACCTGACTTTTTGATGTTGGATTCAGGCTAACCCAGCTCAAGTTGTAGCCCTAATTTGAGAGGGCTTAAGTTTGGTTCGACTGCTTTTCTTTGAAGATGTTCTTGCAAGTGCATGGCTTGTCCAGAGAAATGTCCAAGTAAATGATGATGATGATTAAATTTGGTTCTTTGGATTTTTATTTGTTTTGCGTATCAAACACATTACCTCGAAGTTTCCTAAATAGTCCCTATCTTGCAAGGTCAAGAGCAACTGTGTGAAAGCACTCCCAAATGAGCACTAAGGGCTTGTTTTGGAGGGCTGAAACTTTGATTGAGCTGTTTTGGAGAATCCACTAAAAGAAGCTTCATGTGAAAGCCCATTTTTTGGCTGAAATACAACTAATTTGGGCTTTCCATGATTTCACCAAACATTGCTAATAGGCTCTGGCCGGGGCTCTCCTCATAAAGCTAAAGCCACAACGTGAATGCCCTCCATAATGGGCATTAGGAACCTGTTTGGAAGGGCTGAGCTGAAGATTCAGCTAAGCTGGTGTAACTGATTCGATCAGATACTCAAAGATGGTTAAGCCAATAGCCCTTCAAATGACTGATGACTGAAGTCAATTTGGACTCTTTGGATTTTCACTAAACATAGCTTATAGGCTGTCCATGTGGAACCCACCTTGAAAAGCCAGAAGCCACTGCGTTTGAATCCTCCCAAATGGGCATTAAATAATAGTAGAGGGCTGCTGCACGTAGGATTAACATATAAATGAGTTCGGATCTCCTACCCACAAACTATTCCGACATCCATACCTACAGGACACTACTCGTGTGATTTGGGAATATCTCCCTGTCAAGGTTTTAAAAACTAAACCGAACACGGAACTGTTATGAGGACTGGTTTCCGGGTCAAATAGTCCGACCATCCGGTTCAAATGGATGGTCCATTCTGACTTAAAAAATAAATAAAATAAAAAATGGTCAAAATAGTTGTTCAAATTAACGATTCAACTGCTTGGATCAGCAGATCATTGACCAAATCAACGGCATTAAGTCAAAAAACAATTTTAGAGTGAAACAGAATCGATTACCTGACTGATTCCCAAGCCAACTGGTCTGACTGTCAGGTCCGATCTTATCACATCCATATATGAATGTGAAAACAGTTTGTGAGTAAGAGATCCGGAATGCATGTAAACCAATCAAGAGGACCCCATCTTGGCCTTGGATTGGCCACATTCCTCCGTGTGGGAGAATTAGGTATAGTTTGATCATAGCTCATGTCACCAATTGTGGATTTATTAATTAATTCTTATCTCTTTATACATTAAAAAAGTGTAGGGTAGTGGTGGTTTCACAAGGACTTTGAGAATGGAATTTAATTAAAAGAATTACAATTTATTAATCTGTACATAGTATCTTGCTTTATTGTTTTTTTTTTCTTTATAAATTAAATCGGTCAACTAACTTAGCATGAAAATGACAAAATGTAATATTATTATTATAGTGGAAACAAACTTAAGGTTAGGCAATGATGTAATATTATTATTATATCTCTTTT